TTATATACATGCATTCTTTCACTTACTGTCCTAAACATGGCACAAAGAACAATGAACACATCCTTCTCACTTATTAGGGAATACTTCCAATTTCTGCCACACACTTCATTAAAAGAATTGAATCCCACGTCCAGATAGCTGGCCTTCCTCCACTACCTTACATAAGCTCTCTAGGGAGTGAATTAAGATCTCTAAGGAATGAATTAAGTGTAAAGTGAATCTATGCGCATATTTGTGCAGAGAAAAAATTAAGCAAAATTGAGACACATGCTAACATAAATGAAAAAAAAAATACAAGGATGTGTAACTTTTGAGGCCAAGTGGCATAACCAATTAAATCAGGAAGAGGCTACTAAAGAACCACGACAACTGTGACTTTGGCAGAAGTTCCAGTTCCCACGGAATACACAAAACAACATTTTTACTGAAGAGCCTAATGGGGAAACTCATCTTCCAAAGAGGATCAAAATCTCCCTCTGCTGGGAAGATGAAATTTGCAACTACTAAAATAGTTTTAAAATTCAAGCTCGAAAAGAACTAAGATTTTACTAATTCCTTAAATGGTATATTACAGATGGGCCAGGATTTTGCCCCCAGATATTTAAACTAATTGTCTTGTTTCTGTCAGTTACTGTCAGATGGCATAAATCAAAATGTATATTTTTTTTCAAAACAGAAGAAACACAAAGGAATGGGAATATATTAATTATTAAAATGAATAAAATGACACAATGAAAAGAGAAACCGCTAAGGTAATCCAAAGACAATAATGCTGAAATACAAAAAGCTAATTGCTTTTCATCCATATATATGTGACATTATCTCCTACAGAGTAAGAAACATTTTTCTTGTTCAGTGTTGCATTGCTTTCTTCTATCCACTTCTAACATACCTTCTGTTTATATTCACTGATTAATGTAGAATAAGCATAAGCATATTAAGCATTTTAAAGAATAAGCAACTTTTCTTGTAATACAAAATATGCAAAATGTTAAGGAGGATTGTGTGTTTAAGTATATGAATAGAGCTTTCCTATATGAGATTCATATGCACTTTCTAAGAATTTGGACTACTCAAATCCAAAAAACTAGGGAAGGTTTTCCTTCTGCTTTGAGAAAGATGACATAAGGGAATATCCTTAAACACATTCAAATCTTAATGATGTGGTTGAGACCTTGGGAAACACTTCCATTACCATGCAACACTTCCATGAAACCATTACCATGCCACCCATGCAGAAACAGAGAAAGGACTTGGGAATCTGATGAATTTGTTTCAGCTAACCTATGACAGACCTGAAAAAAAAATCTTTTAAATTAGTATTTTTGTTGGTATTTTGTTTCTTTTTTGAAGATTTTTTTTCTCTTGGGAGAGACATGGAGGACAGCATGTCAAGGAAAACCAACGCCAAACCTAAATTCTCATAGAATAGTGCTGCTTTCAACTTAGATTTTGACGCAAGTTATTTGCCCGGTGCCAACCCCCTGCAGGAGGCAGGGCAGGAGCTGGGGACGGCTGCGCCACGTGCCCGTGGCCCAGCTCTTCAGTCCTTCCCTGCACCCGAACAAACACCCGCCAGGGCCTCCAGCTAACACCTGGTGGCACATTGACACACGCACGTGAGCAGGACTTGGACACGCGGTCTCCGCACTGAAGGGATTTCCCCTCCAGCCTTCCTATTCTCAGTGTTATTTCCCCTGCATATCGAGAGAATAAGACTAATTCCTATTTCCCACCAGGGAGTGACAGACTCGGCTAATATTTGTGAAGCACCTGGAAGATGCCGTTTTCCTAAATAATTCACTGCAGTACCCCTTATTACAATTGTGTGCGCTGCACAGTGCAGTAAAAAACCCGGCCTCACTGGAATACAACTCAGGCTATGATATAACTGTAGGTAAGTGCCTGCAGCTGCAGTCAAAGCCACCTCTTTCCTCAGCAGCTGCTTTCAGTACACAGAGAACAGAGCAAGAGCTACAACTGGTATAATTTTACCAGGACTCACTTGCACCACAGCCTTCCCAGATGCTGCAGAACCATTGCTAGCGGTGCAAGATGAACACACCACTAGTTTAGAACAATATGGAAATTAGTGCTAATTTTTCTTACACTTATACTTTATATTAATCTGTGCAGCCCTTTGCCCACTCTAGCTCTTGGCCTTGCATGTGCTGCCTCCAGGCTGTCCGATCACACAAAGCAGGCCGGCCTCACCACTATGGGCCCAGACACTCACTCTCCGGTGACTGAAGTTCATCACAGCTTTCTAAAATAAAACTCTGGAATACATAAATGTTATGACAACATCTCTTGTGACATAATTCCCTCCAATCTGGTCACCCTGGATCCTCAGACCTTGATGGGAAGTAAGAGCTTTCCCTCAGGATGATCACCTTGCACATCCCATTTGAAGCGCACAGAATTGGAACATGAGAGCTGCCTGTGAACTCCATAGCAAATAGTTCCCTGAAGGGATTTAATCTCCTTTTATGTTCAAGAAATAGGGGAAAATATTTTTTTTTCCTCAAAAGCATTCTTTTAGGG